GTGAATAAAACACAAATTAAGTGTATATTATTCACGTTATTTTTATCTTCAGTCTACGCAGCACAAAATATACCATATCTTTTTGGATAAGATCATTGATATAAGCTAATGGCCTTTATCAAAGGGCCAATAATGTAAGTTAAGCCAATGTGTGCATGTGTGTTAAGCAAATTAGTGTAGTTCTAAGCAGAACGGTAACAACCAAATTAGCTATTTTTAAAAAAAGTATTGTTGCCTTTTTCTTAAAAGAAGGATTAACTATAAGAAAATAACTTGATAAATTAAGTTTTTAAATTAACTTCAGAAATAATTAGTTCCATACCGAAATTGATAATATTGATCGCGGTAAACACATAGCCAGCTTATGCCATAATCAAGCAATTGTCTCAGTAAATAAGCAATTCAGTATAGATCTTTTTTTTAATTTTAATTACTGATAACTTCATTTTTATTTAGGTGTGTAACAACACCTAATAAAGCGTAATTCTAAGCAAATAGAGTGCTTTCATATAGCTTACAAAATAATCATTAGTTGACGTTACCCCAACGTGATTCCTGCTGATTTTATTTGTGAAAATGTTCAATAAAAAATAAAAGATAAATAATTATTAAGCCTAAAGTTACGGAGTAGAGATGCTAGTAGACAAACATTAACTAATGTTATAGTCTTTTTTCAAGTGATTTAAAAGAAATTGTTTCTGTAGTTTAGATTGCAACAATGTATAATTCAAGTCTCGTGAATTAATTTTGTTAATTAAAAAAAAATAGTTGAATAAAAAAAAGTTAATTGATATAACAAATAAAAGAAAGTTTTACAAACTTCGTTGTTGATTAAATAGATCTGCAAACTAGCCACAAATGCTGAGGTTACAATTTAAATAATTGAAAAAGCATATTCGCAGATATATGCATATTGAAAAGCAGATGAATGCATATTGATAACCTTTTATATTTAATCAGCAAATGTGCGAAGTGGTGCTGAGAGATAAAGAAATTAACATCACGATATATCACAGAAAAAACGACCTATCGCAATTTTTTTTTATGAATTCCGCATAATTTACTTAAATTATTTTTGCACTGATTCATATTATCGTTGACCATATGATGTTAATTAACACTAATGGTTTCACGGTAATTACGATATTGTTATTCTAAGCGGTATTACAAACGCTATTAAATAATTAACCTTATTGATAAATTCACGATATTGTCAATAATGGATATTATTGTAGTATTCAAAAATTACATTTACTAATTATTATTGCGACATTCAATTTATCAAAACTCATTGTTTTCGATATTCCTCGTCTTCAGAAATATTCACGCCGATGTATCATTATATCATTGCCGATATGTATCATTGCCAATATGTATCATTGCCGATAATAATTGCGGTATTATCATTTTCGATCACGAATTTGTCAGCTTTCTTATCACATGTAATCAGTAGTTTCAACTAATGTGTTGTTTTTTAGCCCGAAATCTTTGATTTTTGAAGCATCAAGTACTATTCAGTTTGTTAAACTAGGAAACGTTTATTTAAGCTTAGAAAATAAGTATGTTATAAGAATTTTTAATAAAATATTTAATAGTTCAAATAAAACTATTTCCTTTTCACAAAACATTGATAAATTCTTTTTAAAATTTATGTTGAATTTTTTTAAATTCCTAAAGCAAATATAAAAGAAAAATTAATGAAAACTTTAAGCACTCGTCTATTTAAAGCCTAATTAAAGTTTTTTAACGAATAAATAATTCTTTATTTGAAATATGACAAAAAATAAAATTTTAAAGTAAGTTTATAATTTGTTAATGGTTGATTTAATTAGCCGATTAATTTACATCCTGAAATTATAGAAAAATGCAAATCTAATCAATGAAGTTTATTAATTAGATTAATCCTGTATCGAAAATGAAATATTATTCTGTTTCTTTCTTAATTAAAATATGTTTATTCGTTTTTTATTTATTCAATTTCAAAGCAATGTTGTCGTTTAGCTTCTAACATTATTTGAATGAATTTCATAAATCCAATTTAATAATGGATTTGAACAAAAGCTTATTTAAGTTATTTAGAAAAAGAATTCTTAAAGTCATTCATCTTCGAATTAAAGCAGCAGTTGTGGTAAATGTAGCATCATAATATTTGAGAAATTTTAATATTTTTTCTTTCCTATTTATTAAACAAACAAGGCATTTTTAATAAGAAAAAAATAATAGGGTATTAAATATTTTACTTGTTTGAAATTATCAAAATTAAAATTCCTTGTTTTATGTTTCTTTAATAATTTGTAGAAAATAGTATAACAAATCTTAATTTCTACTTCAATAAAAGTTGGTAATTGTAATATTCAGTATCTATTTTTTTATGTTTCATTTTAGCTATGGATCAAAACAGTTAATTATTAATATTATCCATAGTTATTCAAATTAGGGCTGAAATAATTTTTAAACAGTTTGTACAACAAAGAATAGATTCATTGTCAGCTTGTAAAACGGACAAAATGGAACATATAGATTTTCAAAACAATTGAGGTATATTTTCGGGACTGCTTATAACAATAGCTTTGATTTTAATTTTCCGTATATAACTTACTATCGATATTTTTTAAACAATTTGATTCAATTTTTCTTGTACGCAATTTGACCATCGGGTTACTTATGATGGTGAATACTCTTTTTTCGAACAAACGATAATTATCGAGAACGATATTATTGCGAGCTACAAACACAACAATAAAAATTGAATATCCTAATGTTATATGTTGTTATGTCCTAATGTTGCGATTATTTTATATTGTAATTATCGAATACAATTACACTTCGATCATTATTAGCAGTAAGAAATTTGGAGTTTGAATATATTATGAGTTTCAATATTTTTTAGTCATATATCAACCGATATATGACTAAATATAGCCAAACGCAACTTTTATCTCATAACAAGTCCTAATAAAAATATGTGTTAGCTTTCATTTAAATTTGAAGGTGGAGAGCATTCTGTAGTCTATTCCTTCAAAATTTGGAATTATACACTAATTCAGTTTTCATTCTAAAATTATTGCAAAATAACCAGACCCAGTCTATCCATCCAATTTACCATAAAGTTTACGGTAAAAAACATTTTTGTCCTTATGGTTTTTAAATCGTTTACATCTAGTATGGTTAAAAAATCGTATAATTAGGTATTCATGTTTTTTTTAACCATTTACAACTTGCATGGTTTCAAAACCGCAAAAAAGAAATTTAGCTGTAGATACATATTGGAGATAATTATAAATTTTATGGTGTTGTCATGTATGAATGAATTAGAAAATCGCATTCTAATAGTCCAGGGTCAGAAATTAGAGAGTGCAAAATACTAGAAATTCTTCATTTTTTGAAATGAATGGAGGAAATATAGTGGTGTTAATGCTGAGACTCGCATGCTCATTTTGTCTGTCATGAGATTGACAGATTAGCTATCTCGACTATAATATGTACCCCTCTGCAAGGAACCAAGTGGCTTCATAAGGTTCTAGTTGAAGCAATAGCAAATTCTGATTGTTTAACCGTATTAGGTGAAATTAGTTCATAAACAGTTTTTCTAACAATTAAGAGTTTAGATAACAAATTATTTACGGTTATTTGACTGTTTTATTTGTATATTTTAAAATAATAATTACATAAATTGTAATTTAACCATTTTTTTCCTGAGACAGTGTACCCTAGCAGTGTTCTAACAGTGTACCCTCAAAATTATGCACGGTTAAAGCCTAAGGAAATGTAATTTTACATACAAAGTTGAAATTTTGATGTACTTCAGTAAAATTTTTGTTTGTTAACTTTTAACTTTACATCAAATGTTTTAAGATACAGTAATTAGTTCGAAAGTTTATGCACTTTTAATTGCCTTACCTCACTAATTTTTCATCACTCATCGCTTTAAATAATACCCATAAATCTTTTTTTCAAGAGAGGAAGTAAAAACTAGTTATCATTTGCAATTTTTATTTTTCGTATTTTTTTCGTTATAACTCGTTTATCCTTTAACTAAGTAACAAAATTTCTAGGATAACTTTTCACGTACAGATCGCATTATCAAGCGGAAATAATGAAAGTGTTTGTTTCATGAACAAAGAATCGAAAATAAAATTTCAAAAAAATAACGGAGTAAAAATAAGTTGCAAAAACTACCTATTAAACTCATTTCATTTTAAAACCACATTTCAACCAAATATGAACATATTTTTTACTAATTATTTTATGCGATTACTATATTAGCACTTTAGAACAAAGCTCAAAAAGCTATGAAAAATTTAAAATATATGAAATATTACAATTATTCATTCTCACAATTCTATAAATTTAAATTTACATAGTCGCTATTTTGTGCGACATTAGTTTATCTAAAAACTTCAAATTTTGTAAACCAACACACAATTAAAAAAAAAGTAAGTCCTATTTATCGGAGCCAAATTGTAAAGATTTACATCTTTATTGACGAACAAATCTTTAACGTATGAAGAAAATCTTTAACATATGGTGCTTAATTTAATTTTCTGATACCTACCATATGTAGGTAAATAATTCTAATAATACCAAATGTAAGTAAGTAATAACATACCCATTCCTTTAAAAATGGATCTTAATATTGTGACTAGTATTGATTGAATGAATATAAACTTGTACATTATTTTCGATTATTTTTTATTTTTTGTTTGTTTTTCTGAAAGAAAAAAAAGCGTCAAAAAGGGTAAGTGAAGTTTTCCTTCATTCTAAATATAATGAACTATTAATTTGGCTTAGTTAACATTTAAAAAGGAAAAAAAAAACATCTTAACTAATTTTTTGAACTCAACTACGTTAAATTGCTACAATATTTAAAAAGAGATACATTTAAAGAAAAAAAAACTTAAGTTAGAATGGCAAGTAGATTTTAGAAGATAAACTACCCACTCCAAAAGAAACCTAAACTGTTCCAATTAGTGTGGGAAAAAAGTGCTCACTAGATGGCGTTGATGTCTTTCAAAAGGTAGAAACGCGGGATTCTAGATCTCACAAGTATTGTGGCTATTGGTCATCCTCATCTCATGGAGTGGGCTGAAACAGATCTGATCAGAAGGAAGCATCTCAACTCGATATGCCTTCTCGTATTGCGTTGATATCTCTCTGGATATTTCTAGGAAAAGGTGGGAGTTATCCTCATTTTAATTGTGCATTTTAATTGCAACAAGTGCGAATAAATTTTAATTCTTGTAAAGAATTAAAGAACATTATAAGATCTCTATTAATGAATTATGAAAAATAAAAAATAATAAATAAAGAAAAAGAAGAAGTGGAATAATAGATACACATAAATTTATTACCAATTTGTTGTTTTAGATGACCCGCTCTAATTAGAGTCCTTAATTTGCTTGTTTATGCATTGTCATAAAATATTTCTGATAAAAAGAATATTAACAAGAAAAAAAATAGACCCCCCCCCTCCTTAATGCTATTAAGTCGTATTTTTTAAATATTTTTGATATTTACGTTAAATTATTGGTGTCATGATATAAAATGAATATTATCAATCATTTAATTGAAAAATTGAGAAATCCTTAGAATATTGCACTTCTCCTTTAAAATCAAGAATCCAAAATTACTAAAGAGTATTATTTATAGTAATTAATCATAATAAATAATACAAACTAATTTCTAAATTTATTAATTGAAAAAATTTGCAATTTTTAATAATGTAATTTTTTTTCTAATTAAGAAAAAAAATGCATTATCCTGAAAAAGATTGATAAGTTAGTGTTATCATAAAACTAAAAGTAACCTTTAAGAAGAACGTAAGTAAATTTTATGGTCTAAAATAATTTTTGTGGAGGAAAGATACATTTTTTTAATCTTCCTTAATTTATCTTCCCTCATTATAATCCTTATTTTTAGAATCATCCCTAAAAACGACTGTCTTCACTCATGGATTAAATAACTAGGTTTCGACAGAAATATTTCAGATGTTTAGCTGAACGAATAAAAGAAAACGCAGTTCGAGTTTTTAATGTGTGTAAAATTCAATAATAATTTATTTTTTTGAACTCATTCCTTTTTTTGAACGCGTTATCTTTTTACAATTTAAGAAAGTTTGCTCCGTAATGTAAATAAGAGATGAAAGAGTAAATGTTGTTTAATTTCCTCATAAAATATCATTATTAAATAAAATTGCATTTTAAACTCATATTTAAATCCACATTTTTTATTTAAACCCATATTTGAGTATCGAACAAATATTTAGCAACGTTGCAGAAAAATTTAGATACGAAAATACCAATTTCTTATGCAGAAAAATCTGAGTTTTGTACTGGCCAATTACCGTTAAAAAAGAAAAAAAACTTTGTATACATAGGAAAACTGATTACTAACAAACATGGCTGTAAAAATAATAGAATTTAATTTTTGTAAATGGTTTTTTGTGACAATTTCAGGTTTATTATATTTTCAACAATATTTTTTTATGAATAATAATCATGCATTCATTTTTGTTCGTGTTTCTTCGAAATAAAATCAATTATTTGGATGAGACAACCAAAATTAAATTACGAAGACAAAAACTTTCTTTTATTTTTATGTAACAGATGAATAATGACAGTCTATGAATAATGATGAACAATTTACTTATTTGCTTAGCACAAATACTTTAACAAAAAATGATTTTTATTTTTATTTAACTATCAGCTGCCATAACTAATTGGACAGCACCAAATATGATTAAATTATATCGATATTATAAAACAAAATAAAATTTAATTAAATTATAATTATAATATCAAAAATAAGCTAATTATCTGGCTAATTTCAAAATAATCTCGTAATTTTTTTTACTAAGCACATTTTTATAATTGAGGTTTAAATCTCGATCGATTTGTCAGCTAAACATTTTCTTCAGAGACCTACGAACTACAACTTTTTTAAATCATGGAAACTAATTTCATCGCGTGTCAGTTTTGTAACAAATGGAATAAAGCTAATCGAAATTAGTAACGTATAATTGATTCCAAGAAATTATTAAATAGTTGTATGTAATTATGAATAATTTCATAATATTATAAAAAACTTAATTGCTAGAGGGAATTATTAAACAATTAAAGATATTTTTACGAAGAACAACAGTATGTATAATTTTAAAAACGATATTTTTTTAACTTTTTTTAAATTTTGTTCAGTACATTTAACAACAATATTCAGCTTGTATTTTCTTAACTTGAGACTTTTTTTAAATCGAAATTCAGATTTTCTTCTTAGTACTTCGATCAAGAAAAGTAAAGCTATGATCAATTTCTAAAATCTAATTTTTTTTGGTTTCTTATTTGATTTTCATATAAATGCTTATACTAACTGATGATGTTAGTGTTTTCAACTATCTTGTGAACTAAAAGCATAAGCTGTGAATCTTTTGATATGAAAAAAAAATCATTATATAATATCTAAGGATAAAAAAACATAACTCTTTATTGAGAAAAAAAAAGTTTCTTCAAAACTACCAGAATATGGTAAATTTTTATTGTTTCTGGGTCAACGAGAACACCAGAAAGCTCGGTATTTTTTACCGAAGAGTTTTGGAAATGATATTGGTAAAGCTAATAATAAAATATGATTAACCATTCTGATTCAAATTTTGGTAATTTTATCCTGATACTTTAGGGAACGGTATAAAAGCAATTTATTCGGTTAACTTAATTATTCAGTTTGGCATTTTTTACTGAACGTAAGGTTAACCAGAAATTTCGGTAAAGCGTTACCATATTAAAGGAAAAAAGTATTAAGTGAAGGGTTAATACCGTATATGTTGTTATTTTTAACCAGAATTATGGTAAAATTTTATAAAAGTGGTAAAATTTGCGAATTGTATCATGATACCTTAGATCATGGCATAAAAACCATTTATTTGGTTAAAGTTTCTTTTCAGTTTTATATGTTTCACTATTTGAGTGGTAATCAGGACTATAATTAAGAAAAACAGAATTTCCGGTAAACCATTACAGCACGAGTGGGAAAATAAATGGCTTAAATGCCGTATACTATTGTTTTGTTAACCAGAGTTATACTTTCATTTAACTAGAAATGTCATTACCATACAGTAAGCTAAATGTACCTGAATCTTTACCTAAATGTTGCTGAATAATAATTATGTTCTTTTAAATTACAATCATTGCTCTAAATGCGTTATTTTTCTTAAAAGAAATAAAAAGATTCTTGAAATACTTTTTTAAGTTTAAATTTTTTGTTTAGTTTACTCCTAAAGATTAAAGCATTATATTTAGCGCTTTCTTAAATTTTAAGTCTTTTCTTAAAAATTTAAACTTTTTGCCAGATATAAGTAATTATGAAAGTCTCGTTCTTTGTTAATGCATATATAATTCTTTAATATTTGCCGAGGATAATATTTCTTCATATTATCTTCATTTAAAGAAATCTGCTTCAGTAAAATATTAATTTTTTGAATTTTCTTGTGATTGTATAAACAATTTTAAGGAACAACAATATTTTTATAGACAATATTTTTCATAAATTATTTCATTTGTGCGCATTTATTATTTCTAAAGATTTAAATTATTATATAATTTTTGAAATTGATTTTTGAAAACTTTCTGCTTATTTATTCAGACAGTACTCATCATTAGTATTTTCTTATTTTCTGATTTAGTAAAAAAATTTAAAATTAAACAAAATAGTAAAAGCATAAATATAATATTTCGAAATGACATAGTTTAGTTTTTTCAATTTTTAAGATATTTAATTTCAAAATAGCTATTAGTTTTAAAAGCTTTTATTTTATTATTGTAAATGCTTCGAGTTAATGAATACTTATTCTTATTCTGAATCAGCGTCTCGGTTAATTAAAAATAAATGAAGCTTATTAAATTTTTTAATTTATTTATATTTGTATGCTAAAAGATTTTCCATTTCTTCCAGAAAAAAAATAAATGAACTGAAAATAAAAAGTAAATTAACACAGAAATCAATTAATAACACATCAATCAACTGAATAAATAAATACATAATTTAATTAACGCATATATCAATTAAATAAATAAAAAATACTAACAAAAAGGAGCAAATGAACAAGTAAGTTAAAAGGTAAGCAAATGATTTTTTTTTTAATTTTCAAAAGTAATTTCATTTTAGAAATTTTAGATTAGATTGGCAAAAAATCCAGTGCATGCTTATAAGACTATTCAATTAGAAATTAAGTTAATTCTAGTACATAAATTTATGCTATTATAAATACATATGAAGCTGTGATATCAGAACAGTTATAACACCGAGTTGTCATTGTGCAAGAAAAGGTTTTTTTTCCAGTGGCAGCTGGAAGCTTACGCAGCTTCAGATCTTTGGGTTCCTCTTGGGAAAATGGCGGAGCAATTTTGGACACATTTCCATAGTCACGATTTAGTTCTCTAAATACAGAACCTTATGCACTTTCTGATTAACAATTAATTGTTAATCGAGTGTTTTCCTTTATACATAATTGTGTGTTAATGTATTGGTATAATTATTTTTTTTTTGATATAGTTAATATTTAAGAGATAAAAAACAAAATACAATATTCAAACTTTAGTCAATAACAATAGAAGCTCTATTGCAAGAAATTGAAATCAGAAGAATGCCACTAGTTAGATAGTTCCTAGTGAAACCAGAATATATTTTAGTGACTTTAGAAAAGTAAACTTGGTTTTTGATGGTTTTAACATCTTGCTTGCACCTCCAAAATTCAATAGTTGATGGTTATAGTTCGGAAAGGGTTTTGTATTTCTTCTTCACTCAAATATTTATTTTTATTTCCCAAAGGTCGTCAATCACTAAACACAGCAAGAAGTCTAATCGCAGATTTAAATTTTAAATTAAAATTTAAATCAATTAATCAATATTCTTTCTGGTAGATCATTCTTTCCTAATTTTTGATAATCTATTTTAATTGAATTTCTACTTATTGCTCAATTGGGGTCTAACCCTATTTTTCTCACACACTAGTTTCTAATCTGACTTCCTTTATTAGTTTATCTTCCTTAAGCTTTTACTTATTCTTCTATTGATTAAACAAATTTTTACTTGTTATAACTTTTCAGTCTCGTGTTTCCTTCAGCCATTTTGTGCTTCATTGAGCAAAGCTCTTGTTAATCGATCGAAAATTGTAGTTTTACGT